TCACCGAAGCTGCTCTGCATGTCAGCACATCGAGGCATGCAATCATGCATCAGGCGTCGGCAGAGAAGTGAGGCGAGGGCTCTATCAGTTAAAAGACAACTACAATAACATGGTCTCTACCTGCCGCCCCCACCTCGGCTGCAGATGCTAGGAACGGAAACACCCCCTCCCCACGACACTCAATGAGAGCGCGAGACCCCCCCCCCCACCGAGACCCACACACCCCCCGCCACCACAGCTGCAAGTCTTCCCCCTCCTCATCCTCTTCCTCCTCCTCGTCCTCCTCCTCCTCCCCTCACCCTCCCCCTCGTCCTCGTCCTCGTCCTCGTCCTTCTCCTCCCCCTCCCCCTCCCCCTCCCCTTCCTTCCTCTAGTCCCCCCTGAACTCATGCACTCCTGCCCCTCTCTTCTTCCCTCCTCCCCTCCTAAAACTCTCATCGTCTCCTCTCACCAGATCCTGCCTGTCCGTAGTCCAAATAGCCAGCCTTCTGCGTCGCAGGTTCCTGCCAGCGATCAGGCGAGGAGGAGGCGAGCAGGTGGATGAGAAGAGCAGGAGAGGAGGAGGAGGAGAGCAGGAGGAGAGAAGAAAAGGAGAGCAGCGAGAAGAGCGGAAAGTGGAGAGGAGGAGGTAGTGGTACCAGTTGTGTGCCCTCGTGCCACTCGTTAAAACTTGTCAACGAGATGATTGGCGGTTCTAGCGCCTCTGAGAGAGGAGACGGTAGAGAAAAAGGAGAGGACAGGACAGGACAGGACAGGACAGGACAGGACAGGACAGGACAGGAGAGAGGAGAGGAGAGGAGAGGAGAGGAGAGGAGAGGAGAGAGGAGAGGAGAGGAGAGGAGAGGAGAGGAGAGGAGAGGAGAGGAGAGGAGAGGAGAGGAGAGGAGAGGAGAGGAGAGGAGAGGAGAAAGAAGGGAGAGGGGAGGGGAGAGAGGAAGCTAGGAAAGGAAGCGAGGCGAGAGGCGACAGGAGGAGACTCAGAGTGAGCGGGGTTTCACCCTGTAGTCATTGAGCTGTACAGCGGCGTGTCGAGACTGAAGTTGCCAATTAGAGACAAAGAAGAGCAGAGGAGGAGAAGAGGAGGAGAAAAGAGGAGAGAAGAGTAAAGCAGGAGAGCAGGAGAGCAGGAGAGCAGGAGAGCAGGAGAGCAGGAGAGCAGGAGAGCAGGAGAGCAGGAGAGCAGGAGAGCAGGAGGGTAGAGGAAGACAGACCTCAACGAAGACAACTTTATCCTCTTGATGTGACTCGCTGACGTCTCCGCCCATCGAGCAAACTGGATCCTCTCTCCTCGCACCCCAAACCTCCTCGCATAATGTCGCATGGCAGCATGCGTGTCGTCCCCCTCCCTCCGGAGCCACAAGATCGATTGGTTGACAGATCGGAGCACCTGAGCGAACAGGCAAGAATGAAACAAGTCATCTCATCAGCAACATGCATGTCATTCCGTAACACACAGATACACAAACAAACACACATGTCATTCTCTATCAAACAGGTCATTCTGTATCAATTTCACATGTCCCCTACAAACAAACATAAAAGCTATTCCACAACAAACACAAGAATCAGCTCATCTCTCATCGCACATTCCTCAACGCACACAACAACGCTTGTCCCTCGACATCGATTCTGCTCATCACCTCCATCCACGTCGCAAAGATGTTCCCGTCGATCTTGTACACTTGGTTGAAGTTGCAGATAACAAGCGCGTCCTCCGGCAGATCGTTTGCCCTCCTTGCCGCCCTTGAGAGCTGCAAGGAGAGAGCAGAATTTCCATCTGGCAGCTCCCCGTGCGAGGTGACGTAGTAGGAGTGGGGAAGGTACACCTGAAGGGGGAGGATTAGGGAGGGAGGGGAGGGAGAGGGGAGGACGGGGACAGGAAGGGCAACGACATGGAGATAGAGGGATAGGGGGAAGAGTGGAGGAGGAAGTGAAGGAGGAGGAAGGGGAGAGCGAGAAGGATTCACCATCTTCTCCGTGAAGGAAGCGAGAAATTCCGGAGGAGCTGCGACCTTATCGCTGAACATGATGGGGAGGTATTTCGCTCCTCCAGTCCCAACGAAGAAAGGATAGATCACCTTTACAGACTTCAGCACGTGAATCCGCCTGCTCCTGCTCCTGCTCCTGCTCCTGCTCCTGCTCCTGCTCCTGCTCCTGCTCCTGCTCCTGCTCCTGCTCCTCTTGCTGCTGCTGCTGCTGCTGCTGCTGCTGCTGCTGCTGCT